CTCAAGCTTTCCCCCTGGGTAGAGTGCTGTGGCATCACAGCTCACAGCAACCTCCAACTCCTGGGCTCAAGTGAGTCTCCCGCCTCAGCCTCCGAAGTAGCTGGGACCACAGGTGCCCGCCGCAACGCCAGGCTATTTTTTGGTTGCAGCCATCACTGTTGTTGGGTGGGTCTGGGCTGGATTCAAACCTACCACCTTAGGTGTATGTGTCTGGCGCCTTAGCCACTTGAGCCACAGGTGCTGAGCCTCAAGCAATTCTCTTGTCTCAGCCTAAGTAGCTGGGACTACAGGCACCCGCTACAACACCTGGCTATTTTTAGAGATGAGGTCTTGCTCTGGCTCAGGCTGTTCTCAAACCCAGGAGCTCAGACAGTCCACCTGCGAGCTCAGCCTCAGCCTCCCAAGTGCTGTGAGCCACTGCACCCAAGCCCAAGAACACTTTCTGAACCAATTTTATTTCAGAGGTTAGTGTCCTGCTTGGAGACACCATGCTCTGCTAGGCTCTGTACTACTAGGCAAACATCTCCTTGGGTGCTGGTCTTCTGAGCTTTTAAGAAAAACTGTGGCCAGTTTGCATCAGATTCACACCTAAATACTTGTCAATATCCTGCAGAAATCACACACATGGAGTGGCACATTTGGGGAAATGCTATACATTATCCATGATAAAGTAATCAACCAGAAAACACCTTAATTTGCCTGTCACTAAGGGGCTTCTTGGCCACTCAGGAGGAGCCAGGCAGTCCAAAGCATATTCAAATTTACTTATAGCTCACTGGCAGTCATTCTCTCCTCTAGGGGAGGTAAGGATCTACATCTCATGGGTTCTTGTATCTAAGATTTTCCAGCTCAGGTCTGCAGGTTCAAGGGCAATACAGGTCTATTCTTCCCTCCTCCTCTCTCTTTGGACTCACAGTCCAGAAACCCAGCAGATTCTCATGTAAGATAGAAAGATTTTCTTTATTAATGACCCCAACCATATTTCTTTAGATACAGGAGTTTTGAACTCAAATACTTAGAAGAAAACAAGTTAAGATTGCATTATCCTGCAACTCATTACCAGTAACATATTGCAAAGCAAAACAGCTTGGAAAATAGGGTAGAAGGGAAGTGGAGTGAGGGAGGGAAGATAAAGAAAAGGAATAAGTTGATCAAGTGGAATTTTTTTTTTTTTAATTCTTGGGAACTATGAAGTCCTTGCAAGCACAGCTCATTTCTGCAGATTATTTTCCAAACGTGTACAAAATGGAACCAAAATGGAGAATCCCTTAAGAACCTGAAGAGGTGCAACATTAAAAGCTACGATTATCCAGTAGCAAGTGTTCCAGCCTTCAGCTGCCAGCCGCTTCCTCCTCTTATTCCCAAGAGTTAGCGGGATGAAAACGTCTTCCCCCTAGGAAAAGGAGAAATAAGTGAGAAGGCCAGTCTTTGCCTGACCTTTCCTCCCGCCCCACACTTCTGGACTAGATAGAATCCCTAAGAGACACCAAAGAAGTGAAGTGCTAGATTCCTTAGGCAGAGGTGCTGGAACCACAAAGCATGGGGCTAAGACACAGTTTTCACAGAATGGTTTCATCACCTTTTCCTTCCTATTGAATACTTTGGGGTACCAGGGAATATCTGTGTTAAAACTATAAAGACATTAAATGGACTATGTTAGACAGCAGAATCACTCATTTCTGGATGGCTAGATGTACTTGAATTTCATACTGGACTCAAGTGTCTACCTTTCAGGGTTCCCAGAGAATAGTTCCTTATCTTTCACCATGGGGACAAGAAGTTCAAAGCAGGCTTGGCGCCCATAGCACAGCGGTTACAGCGCAGGCCACATGCACTGAGGCTGGTGGGTTTGAACCCAGTCAAGGCCAGCTAAACAATGACAACTGCAACAACAACAACAAAATATCTGGGTGTTGTGGCGGGTGCCTGTAGTCCCAGCTACTTGGGAGGCTGAGGCAAGAAAATCACTTGAGCCCAAGAGTTTGAGGTTGCTGTGAGCTGTGACACCATGGCACTCTACCAAGGGTGACACAGTGAGACTGTCTCAAAAAAAAAAAAGTTCAAAGCAATCCTCAAAACTTCCAAGGTTAATGGTATTTCTGCTATCATGTACTGACTACAGAACACATTATGTGGTTCTAGGCTCCTGAGTTGAGGTGTCCTGTTCTACCCAGATTTCTCTAGAAGAGCCAGCTGGTTCTCAAAGACAGCTGATAACTAGTACCTAAGGATATGTTGTAAAACAGCCTGGAAGCTCAAGCTGAGAACTATAGGCAACTGGGGTAAAAACAATACCACCACACACATACACCCAAACAAAAAAATAAACAAGGATTCTATATTTTTCCTGCTCTGAATGTCTCACCCACTCCAAAATGAAGGCACAGTTTACCCTTGTCCCCAAATGAAAAGCTCATGGTGTTCACTTCTGGGCAGCACACTGTCAGCTTCAGATTCAGGGCCCTATTTCTCACAGCAGGCCCACCACATTTCTCCTATCCACACTTCTGCAAACTTCCTACTTTGTTGTATGGAGGTCCCAGTTTCTCCAGCTCACAGTCAAGCCACACCTAACTCTTATCCACCATTAGTAACATGATCTGGTTTTCAGGGAGGACGTAGTTGTCTGTGTTCCATGTTCCCTTTCTGCAGCCCAACTCTGCCAAAGAGAGGTCACAGAACAGAGGAAGGCAGAGCTGCTCTTTTAAGTCCCAGGAAGGAGATTTATGGACAATTTGTTGTTCTTCTTCTTTTTGTTAAGACAGAGTCTCACTTTGTTGCCTTGGTAGCATGCTATGGTGTTACAGCTCACAGCAACCTCAAACTCTTGGGCTTAAGTGATTCTCTTGCCTCAGCCTCCCTGGTAGCTAGGACTACAGGCATTTGCCATAGCGCCTGGCTATTTTTTTTAGAGATGGGGTCTCACTCTAGCTCAGGTTGGTCTCAAACTCCTGAGTTCAGGCAATCCACATGCCTAGCTTTCCAGAGTGCTAGGATTACAGGAGTGAGCCACAGCACCCAGCCTACAATTTGTTCATTTTAATATTCATCCTTTCCCAGGTCCTTCAGCAGGACAGGCAGCCATCCTTGCCCCTCTAAAACTGCATTCGCTTTGCAGCAAACCCCAGAATTGGCTGCTTGGTGGGCTCTCCTGAATGGATACACAGTTATCAGAGCTGAAGGTAACACAGGCAGCCTTAGGAACTGTTCTAATATACAGCCTTCCAGTCTATTTGTGACAGGCTTCCCAGGTCACCCGGCTGTCTCAGCTTGGTGCCCGTAGCTCAGTGAGTAGGGCACCGGCCACATACACCTGAAGGTGGGAGGTTCAAGCCTGCTAAACAAAAATGACAACTGCAACAAAAAATAGCTGGGTGTTGTGGCAGGCACCTGTAGTCCCAGCTACTTGGGAGGCTCAGGCAAGAGAATTGCATGAACTCAAGAGTTTGAGGTTGCTGTGAGCTGTGATGCCACAGCACTCTACCGAGGGCTATACAGTGAGACTCTGTCTCAGAAAAAAAAAAAAAAGAAAGAAATAGAAAAAGAAAATGGCTGTCTCACACTTGAGGTCACTAAAATGCTGCTGGTGAGAAAAGCACACCGTGGAGGATAAGAAGGGAAAAGGGAAATAGTAGGCAGGAAGATGGAGACCAGGTTCTGGGTGGGCAGGAATACCTGTGTCCAAGGATACACCCCTCTCACCTGCCCAACCCACCCTGTTGGCCACTTTGCCCAGGTTAGGATCTGCCAAGAAGCTGCACAGTAGCAGAAACGTACCACTATTTCATTGCAGGGCATTCTAATATCTCTCTCTGAGCAGAGGATCTATTTAGACTGAATACCATTCTTTCAGCTCTGGATGGCAGGCACAAAACTGCCACAAAGTCTCTGCCTAAAGAAGTGAGGGGGGTCAGGAGTGGTGGCTCATGCCTATAATCCCAGCACTCTGGGAGGCCCAGGTGGGTGGACTGCTTGAGCTCAGGAGTTCAAGATCAGCCTGAACAAGACCCTGTCTCTAAAAAAAAACAACAAATAGCTGGGCATTGTGGCAGGTGCCTGTAGTCCCAAGTTACTCAGGAGGCTGAGGCAAGAGGATTGCTTGAGTCCAAGAGTTTCAGGTTGATGGCCATGGCATTCTACCAGGGCAAGAAAGTGAGACTGCCTCAAAAAAAGAAAATAAATAAATAAATAAGTCAGGGATGATTTATGTAAAAGTCTGATGTTTCTGGGACTGAAAGCCCTCACCTAATGCTTAGGTACTCTCATCCTTTCAAATAGCAGCAGAAACTAACTTTGGTAGAAGCCGCCTCACATAACAGGCAAAGGAGAGTGATGCAGTCTTGCTCTAGTTCATGACTCACCCACCCAAGGTACTGAGTGTTGGCAAATATGCTGGGAGGCTTAGTTTACCTCAATTCCTTTAGGTCAAAAGGCACACAAGATAGTAGATAAGCACATATGGCCTTATGCTATAAGCAGGATTGCCTAAATTTCACGAGAAGGGGAACCATGATCTGGCACTTTGTACAAAGACATAGCCCTCTAGGCTCTAGGTCATGCTGGCCTCTCTGGCACTCACAGCTGTACACCACTCAGAGCTCTACTTAGCATTTCCATCCCTGATAAAGACCCTTCTCTCCATGCAAACTTTTAGCCGAGAAGATGACAAGGAAAAAGAACACTCAATGGGTGGGTCCAGGCTTATTTACTCAACTAAATATCCTAAGTATTAATACTTTAGCTCAGTATCTCTAAAAGACCAACCTCTTTTCTTTTTTTTTGAGACAGAGCCTCAAGCTGTTGCCCTGGGTAGAGTGCCGGTGGCATCATAGCTCACAGCAACCTCCAACTCCTGGGCTCAAGCAATTCTCCTGCCTCAGCCTCCCAAGTAGCTGGGACTACAGGCACCCACCACAACGCCTAGCTATTTTTTGGTTGCAGTCGGCATTGTTGTTGGGCAGGCCCAGGCTGGATTCGAACCCGTCAACTTAGGTGTATGTGGCTAGCACCTTAGCTGCTTGAGCCACAGGCGCCACACCTAGAAGACCAACCTCTTAACTCAGGCCCAAAGAGATCATAGCTTCTTGGTAAAAAGGTCCCCTTGCTTTTTTCCTAGCTGCAGCTGTGACAGCTCACAGATATGGAAAAAGGGAAACCTACCCTGGCATGTTCAGGAGTGAAAAACCTGTTAATCCCAACTCAGTCCATCTGTCCAGCCCTGCTGACCTCACTGTAGCTACTATCAGATACCTGAAGGACCACCAGGCCACCAACACCCACTACTTTCTTCTTGGTAGGAGAGGTAGGTAGTCCCACCATGGTACTGCCCTACTTACGTGATTGTTTTCATTTCTTTTTTCTCGGCATCTGGGCGTGCACGGTTCAGCACCTTGAGGAAATCAGATGTTTTTGCCCGCATACGTGTGTGAATATAGGCCTGGGAACAGACACAACAAATACTGAAGCAGAGTCATGTTGCAGAAAGACAGCTTTGGTTTTATTAGGGGACACCACCAGGAAAGTATGGGAACAGATGCTTTGGGACTGAAATAGCAGGAAGGTGAACAATTTGGAGATAGATTTCTCTCTGCTACTGGGAGGGGTGGAAGAAAGTGGCTCAATGAAGAGAGGCCACAACTGCCTAAAGCCTCTACAACTACCACTTAAGAGTCAGATCCATAGCCTGAACTACAGAACAACTTTTGTTAGGAGCTCTGATGGAAAGGTAGACCCAGAGCATAGGACTGAGCTGCAGGGCTCTCACCTTAGAGCACTTGATGTGGTAGTGCAGGTAGTCCCGGAACGTGTGGATCAGGTTGATGGTGTTGTCTCGAGCGTTGGCATTGGTGTGGCGAGGGAACAGCACTGAGGGTGGGAACACAAGGTGTCAAGGTGTAAACACCAAAGAGTCAGGAAGAAGAGCAGCCTACACTGAACCTCATTCACTTTGTGCTTAAGTAGAATTCACTTGTTTCACTACTCCTAGGCTCCATTAGGGTTTTGATAAGACTAGGAAGGGATAACAGCATACCTAGGGATGTGCCAATGAGTGCAAACAGAGGAGCCCATGATGAAAAAACCAGGGTTTGACTCTGGCCACTCATTCCAGGCCTGGATTCTATGGCTGTGCACTCTGAAATTGATCCCCTGTCTGTCACACAGCTATTAGCTTGTTTCTGTAGCTCTGCAGACTCCAGGGTGGCATCAACTGGTTATCTGAGAAATAGTTTACCTAAGAAATCAGATTAGGAAATAAAGCTGCCTATCCTGGATCGTTGGTGCTAAAATACAACAAGGTAAGCCTTCATAGAAACGAGATGCCAGGAGAAACTACAACTTTGGAGCTTAAGTGATTCTCTTGCCTCAGCCTCCCAAGTAACTGGGAATATAAGCGTGCACCACAATGCCCAACTGTTTTTTTTTGTTGTTTGTTGTCATTGTTGTTTTAGTGGGCCCTGGCTGAGTTCGAACCCCGACCCCACCAGCCCTGGTGCATGTGGCCGGTGCCCTAACCACTGAACTACAGGCACCAAGCCAGAATAGCAAGGTCCATCCTGTGGACCTGCCACACGGAGATCTGTGTAGTTACTGCTTGGTCCTTTGCACTGGAGCATACTTGCACCCTTCTCCCTCTGGTGTTTTGGAATCCTTTATCTTCTGTACCTCCTCTACTCAACTGGACTCACTATCTGCAAAATCTCCTGAGGTATCGAAAGTTTTGCCCAAGTGAAAAGAAATGCCTTCTAATGGCTCAGCGCCTATGGCTCAAGTGGCTAAGGTGCCAGCCACATAAACCTAAGGTGGTGGGTTCAAATCCAGCCTGGGCCCGCCAAACAATGATGGCTGCAACC